AATGTGATGTAGAACAGGTCCGAGATCTCTGCAGAGTATGGGATGCAAATGGCCTGCTGCGGCTCATTCCTATGTCACATGGGCCAAAGGAAGATCAGCTCTTTCTACACACAAAGGTTTTTGGCAATCTGAAAAATAGAGATGTCGACCGACAGATTGGAGATCGTCGTGGCAGGAACTATGTTGAAGGGAGGATTCTTGAGGGTCCCTCTCACAACATCCCAAATGCCACGGCTCTGTTGCAGATAGAGGCAAAACGCTTTGAGGAGGTCATTGTGGGAGCTGTGGCAGACAGGCGGGACTTCTACCACCAGTTCTCCGTCTCCTACGAACGTGCAGCATCGAACACTCTTTATCCTCCGTTTCCTCTCCGAGATTTCAGTGGCACGATGGCCTATGACCGGTTTTGCGAGGATTTCCAAGATCATGGAAAGAGAAGCGCCCACTCGCGAGAGGACATGGGGGACTTCCTGGGCATGCCGAAGCCGCTGTTGGTCAGCAAAAGCGATGACTCGATGGTGTATGCAGCTTTTGGGGCTCTTTTCCAAGGAGACCATCTAGGAGTTGAGTTTGCATGCTGTGCCCATGAAGCTATGTTAGAGGAAGGTGGATGCCATCCCTCAGAAAACCGCCTTTGCGCAAATTCCTCTATCCTGCACAACTCTCCAGTTTCTGGATTGGTCATTGATGACTATTTTGTACTCTCTGCAGAAGGTCTTGCGGGTGCATCGGGCGATAAGTACCTCAAGCCCAACCGAGCCTCTATGGCCTTGCAGAGAGCAAAAGACACATACAAGAAGCAGAAGGTCCTGGGATCAGATGACAAGGAGATTTCTGATTCGCTGCATTTCAAGGTGATTGGTGCTGAGATCAACTCCATCGAGGGCTTGGCAAGGAAGGGTTTGGTTTCCCTCGGGGCTCCGAGTGAGAAACGCTTTGGATTGATGATGATGAGTGCTATCGCAGCCGGGTTTCCCTACACAACAGATAGCCTGCATTCTTCTTTGGTGGGGTCGTGGATCTCTGTCCTCCTCTACAGAAGACCGTTTATGGCCCACATGAACAAGCTCTTCCAGGTGATAGACCATGATGATCTGTCTTCAGAGCAGTCGCGCCTCCGGCCCTTGTGTCGAGCAGCAGCTGAGGAATTGCTGGTACTATCATGCCTGTGCCCTGTGGCCATCACCAACATTGCAGCGCCTTTCTCTGATCGGGTCTATGCTTCTGATGCCTCCACCGAAAAAGGGGGCCTTGTCTTTGCTGAGGTTGGAGAAGATATCTCAAGAGTTGTGTGGAGGACCTCGACGAAGAAGGCCAAAAGCCAGAAGCTTCAAAGCAGAACAGCGGCACTTCACAGGATCAAGGATGAAGGATTTGAAGAGCTGCCTGATGATGAGGATGAACTTCCTCGTGAGGTGGACTTTGGGAGGCCGGTTGGCTTTCATTTTGACTTCATTGAGGTTTGTGGAGGAGCCGGAGTCGTTACAAGTGAGCTCACTAAGCTGGGGGCAGTTTGTGGGCCGGTGATAGATATATCCTACTCCCAGAAGTATGACATCACTGATCGACGAGTTTTTGAGTGGCTGGCTTATATGTGTGAGCATGGCAGGCTGAGATCCTTCTTAGCAGCCCCTCCTTGCACTACATTCAGTCCGGCGGCTCATCCTTGTCTCAGGACATACAAGCAGCCCCTTGGAATTGATCCTCTTCATCCCAGAGTGGTGCATGGCAATGATATGGCCTTCTCGTGCATGGGTCTGCTGATGATTGCAAAGAGGACGAGGACTCCGGGCATGATGGAGACCACTCGAAGATCGAAGCTGAGGTGGACCCCACAGTGGCAAGGCCTCCTCTCCCTGGGGGCCGAGGAGGTCCATCTGGCCTCCTGTGCCTATGGGTCTCCGCACCAGAAGGAGTTTGCACTTTTGGTGGTTTCGATGAATGCAAGTGGCCTGGCCAAGAAGTGTTCCCGAGACCATCCTCATCTTCGCATTGAAGGAAAATACACCAAGCCCAGTGCTACATACTGTCCTGGTTTGGCACGTGCTATGGCAATTGTTTTCTGGCGCCACATCCAACAAATCCTTGGAGGCGTGGCTCTGGCTGGGGCCAAGAGGGGCCTTGAGGATGCACTTTCAAATGAGGTGCTGCTGACTTCTGATTGGAAGGTTCTTTCCAGCTGGAGATGGCATGGGTCTCCCCACATCAATGTACTTGAGGCAGCAGCTGCTCTACGAGCGTACGAGGCGGAAGCTCTTCGTGGGGGAGACCTCAGGTTTGTTGGGTTCATTGACTCCCAAGTTGCCTTGTGCGCCTTGGTCCGTGGGAGGAGTTCGTCTGATGCGTTGAGATGTTTGCTGAAGAGGGCTAGCACCATTTCCACTGCATATGGCCTCTACCAGGCCGGCAGGTACGCTCCCACCCGGATGAATCCAGCTGATCACCCTACACGGGACACCGAGATTCCTGAGCGAACATCTCCTGGGTTTGGAGCGCTCAGTAGCAGGGAGCTCAGATGGCTCTCGTCTCTGTCAGGTCTTCGGAGGTGGACAGCAAATTGGATCAGAGTGAGCCTTCTCCTTTGTCCCTCCTGGATTAGCTTCTTCTCCAGCCATCACTGCTTTCGCCAGTATGGGCCGGCGTATGATCTCGATCCTCTCTCTTTCATGGACTTCAACCCCTCTCTTGGTTTTCCGGGGGAAGGGCCGCATCTCCGCCAGTTGATTGGAATGCTCTCCTTGCTGACCTTTTGTAGGCTAGGCGGGTGCGTGGGCGCGAGCCATGGAGACGCCTTGAGGCGAAAGCAGCGAGAAGGTTTGGAGCTGCCAGAGGGGAGACGTGTGACTCAGCTGACCTCCTCCGTGCGAAGTCAGTTGGCGGCTGCGCTGAATGGTTGGCTGCGACAAGAAGGACTGTCTTTTGAGAGTGTGTTTCTTGAAAACCCCCCGGATCTGGACAAGGTCAACAACGTGCTATCAAAGTATGGTAGATTCCTTTTTGCTGAGGGAAAACCATACTACCACCTGGCAGAAACCATCAATCTGGTTAGCGCAAAAAGGCCGATCCTCAGGAGGTCCCTCCAACAGGCTTGGGACCTCTGTGCTATGTGGACCTCCTTTGAACCTGTTGAACACCACCGGGCTATGCCCGTACAGCTGCTCCTGGCAGTACTTGCCAGTTGTTTGGTTTGGGGCTGGAAGCGCGAGGCAGCCCTTTTTGCGCTGTGCTGGGGTATGCTCCTGAGGCCAGGAGAGCTGATGGCCGCCAGGAGGAGAGATGTGATTTTTCCTCAGGATGTAAGATTCTCCATTGATCACATCCTTTTGAGGATTTTGGAACCGAAGACCAGGTTCAGGGCTGCACGCCACCAAAACAGCAAGTTAGAGGCTCCAGATCTGATGAGAGTTGCTTGGATTGGACTTGGAGACCTCCGACCAGAAGAGCCCCTCTGGCCTGGTTCATCCTCTACTCTGAGGCACAGGCTTGACAAGATTTTGCTTAAGCTGGGCCTGCCGATCAAAGAGATGAACGGCCAGAAACCGATGACGCTGGCTTCCTTTCGACCAGGTGGGGCAACCTATATGATCAGCCTCACCGAGTCCGCAGAAATGGTGCAAAGAAGAGGCCGTTGGCTGTCACTCAAAGTGATGAATATTTATCTGCAAGAAGTGGCGGCGAGCACCTTCATGACAGATTTGCCCCCTGCAACTCGAGAAGTCATCCTGGTCGCAATGGAAAGTTTCAATGAAGTCCTTGAAACCAGCTTTCGGTATGCTGAAGCCAAGATTCCCGAAAAGGCTTGGTATGTTCTTTTTCAACATGGAACGGAGGGCGTCGCAACGACCGGGTCAAGCGGGGTGAAGTGGGCATTCAAGACCTCAAAATGAGGCATCCCTCGACACACTAACCAA